GGAAATTGATGGAAGGCAACACTCCATTGTATGCAGGATTTATGAGCAAGTATATCGAGGACCCTCTGCCACTTCAACGAATTTGCTACATGGATCCAATATCCAGATCACCCACAAATAATGATGTCGTGAGGGAGACGATTATTCGTACCATGAACGTTGCGAACGAAACGGGCCAAGAATATGCAGTAGTCACTTATGATTTGCAGGTTGCCTTGAAAGCCTACTCTATTCAGGCGATCGAAACTCCCATGTTTGACAAGCTGTTGGTAATGTTGGGCCATTTCCACGTCGAGTTGGCGTTCTACGGAGCGGTTGGTACATTTATAAATGACAGTGGAATCGAATATATACTTACCGAAGCCAACATCTTGGCAGAAGGTTCAATGATGGGGATTATCAAGGGAAAGTTCTATAACAGATGCACACGAATCCACGAATTACTTGCTAATGTCTTGGAGCAGAAGTTGTACGAACGCTTTGTCTTTGAAACACCTGAAGTAGACCACGATTTGTTCCAACAAGTGATGTCCACAGTACCAGTGGATTCCGGAAGAGCATTGGAACACCTAACGGATCCAGTTGTGACCGCTCACCTGCAGAAATACGAGGAATTCTTCCAGAAGGTTCTCGACGGACAGCTCGGGTCAACAGCTCAGTTCTGGGCCATTTACATCTTTATGATCAATCGCCTCCACAGAGAGCTGCAGAGATGCGTTAAGATGAACGAAGTTGGTGGCTACATTAAGATATTCCCAACACTGTTGGTGGTATACTTCGCCCTGAACCGACCAAACTACGCGAGATGGGGAACATTTTTTTTGCATAAGTTGAAGAGTGCAGACCCAGAGCTGCGTGAAGTATTGGAGAATGGTGCGTTTTCCATAAGACGCACAAAGAAGAACTACAGCAGATCTGCTGTCGACCTTTCCTTGGAGCAAACAGTGAATCGGGATTCAGCATCCAAAATGAAGGGAATAGTGTCCTTCCGAAACTCCGAGAGCGCAATGAGACGTTGGTCATTGAGTATGACACAGCGAGCTACGGCAGTCACCGAACTAAGTGCATTAGTTGGACTTGAACAGGGGGAAACTGCGACTTCCCATTGCCGTCCTTCAAGAATCAGGAAGGATAACAATCAGATGGCAGAATTGAGTGCAAAAATTGACGAATTTTGCAATCCATTTGGAGATGATGCCCCAACGGCTTTAGTAAACGTTGCAACTGGTCAAATAGCATCAAAGGTTACTGAATCCTATCTAATCAATGCGCTTCAACGGGGTCAAGAAGAACGAGATAAATTCCAAGACGAGTGGAACAGAAACAGCCATCGATTTCTTGAGCCTGTGGAGCGTACGCGCATACAGAACTTTGCTGCTCAAAACGTGAAGAAAAAGCTACCAGCCTCGCAGAAAGCCAAGGCAAACGCGGAGAGCTTGAGAGATATGTTTGCACGTATGTTGGTAGTCGCTTCAGACAAGACCGAATTAGACCTTCGGAAGATCATCTCCTACCCAATTACGACCTACCCTCTGTCACTTGCACACTGTGATGGGACGCATATGAAAACCGAGAAATCAGCATTGCTAAGAAAGCTAGAGTCCTTTCAGACGGAAACGATCACAGAAACCCAGTTGCCAATGAGTTATGCACAAATCTATGATGGAGGACTTCTTCCTCATTCCGTACTCTCGCTAACAGCTGTGGGTGCATCGTATGCTTCAATTGCTCGAACCATGCTGTCATTGGTATGTTCAGGGAGGGCTCACGAAGTAAATGTTTGCTTTGATAAGTACGTGGAGAACTCCATAAAGGACAGTAAGAGAAGACAGCGTGGTGCAGTTGACACAGCATACACAATAACCGGTCCAGACCAGAAGATCAGGTTAAGCGGAAAGAAGCTTCTCACGAATGGAACATTCAAGAACGAACTCGCAAAGTTTCTCTTGAAGGAGTGGAAGAAAACTAACTACCAGCAAACATTTGGAGGAAAGACGTTGTTTGTATCAAACGGAGGCGAGTGTTTACAGTACGTACCAGACGAGCAGCAAGGTATTACTGTTAGCAGACCATCATACCTACAAGGCGATCATGAAGAAGCAGATACGCTGATTGCCTTCCATGTGGCAAATGTTTCTGAAGCCGAAAATGTTGTTGTGAGGGCATCCGACACTGATGTCTTAGTGATTCTCATTGGTGCGATTGGGCGGCAGAATGAAGAAGACATCTCTTTACCTGACATCATAATGGATTGTGGCATGGGAAACAGTCGGGGGTATATTAACGTGACCAACATTGCAGAAATCCTTGAAGAACACAAACCTGGTCTTGCTAGCGCACTGCCCGGATATCATGCTTTTACTGGATGTGATTTTACGTCAGCTTTTTATAGGTAAGCACCTAAATTATTGGTTATTTCACTTTTGGTAAAATATCTGTTAAATATTATTTATTTATTTAGCTTTGCCAACTAGGGCAGGGTCACCACAACAGCATACGCCAATTACTGTGGGCCCTTTTTTACCTAACCCACCCTGTCAACTTTCCCTGTGGGAGGAAACCGGAGTACCCGGGGAAAACCCACGGCTTTCGGCAGAGCGTTGACTTTTTACTCTTTTCGCATGGGGACTGGGTTCGGGTCGCACTGAGAAGGTACTTAGTGAGACTCGAACCTGCAGCCTCAGAGGTGAAAGGCAAGTGCGCTAACCACTTGGCCACCGAAGCACAATACAAACCAACCGAACTACATTAAGATAGAGAAAAATATGCATTATGATAAATAAATGCATTGGTCGATAACGCAATATGTCACAGCAATGTGGACAAGAGCTGTTACCAACTGTCCAGCGGACGATTTGTCACCAACAGATTATGGGTGGTATGTTGATAACACCCTCCTAAAGCCAACCTGGTTTGAAGGCCCTGCCATACCAGATAGTTTGTTTACAGAAAACAGCACGCAAAACATGGAAAGTGAAGACGACAGTGACACTGAATCAGAAGCTGACGATGAGCTAGAGAGTCTGTCAGATGTAGACATATGGAGCGAATATACAGATGCGGGAGAGGAAGAAGACGATTGATTGCTATTGACATTAGTTTCGTTGACCACAATATTCGTACTTAATTTCTAGAATATTTGACACGTTTGAGCCTGATGTTATTCATAATGTAATATTTCCGAGTACATACTCATTAATAATTAATGAGGCTAATTAATGCTAGGTAGTCTGAGGACTGGATCCGAATTATTCACTACACTTGCATTTCAGTAGGTATTCACTATCATCATTTGGCCCAAATAGAGTAGGTAATTTCCTCATGAATTACAGTATTAATGAGTATGGGATTGTTATATATACGTTATTTGGCACGCAAAGAGTAGGCCGGGAGGCCACCACTCAAAATGTCTGGCAGTGGCCATCTTGGTATAATACTGAACATTTTGCACTAAGTTTCATCGGGTTGTCTGGCAAACCCACCCCCTGATTAAAATGTCTGTCAGTGGTCATTTATGACTCCTGGCACTACGCTGAACATTTTGCACTTACTTTCGTCGGGTTTCCTCGCCAGCTGATCTAGCTCAATTTTGGGGTCAGCATTCAAGAACGTCTTGCGAACCCACCCCCCTGATGAAATTGTCTGTCAGTGGTCATTTATGGCTCCTGGCACTATGCTGAACATTTTGCACTAAGTTTTGTTGGGTTACATCACCTCACCAGCTGATCTAGCTCAATTTTGCTCTTCCGATCTATTCAAGGACGTCTGGCAAACCCACCCCCTGATTAAAATGTCTGTCAGTGGTCATTTATGACTCCTGGCACTACGCTGAACATTTTGCACTTACTTTCGTCGGGTTTCCTCGCCAGCTGATCTAGCTCAATTTTGGGGTCAGCATTCAAGAACGTCTTGCGAACCCACCCCCCTGATGAAATTGTCTGTCAGTGGTCATTTATGGCTCCTGGCACTATGCTGAACATTTTGCACTAAGTTTTGTTGGGTTACATCACCAGCTGATCTAGCTCATTTTGCGGCTTAGTTTCTCACTCCCCCCTGACCACATCCACCAGTGTGTGTCCGGCAGACGTCCATTTTCTTAGATCACTAGGTACATAGACCAATGCAGTATGCATAAAAATTGGTAACCTTTTCAGCTAAGCTCACACCTCTGGGCTCCCGGTCTATAAGGGCTGGTAAACTAAAAATAAAAACTCCTTATATGGAGAAACATTATAAACGTTCATTTCACATGTACACGCACGCTAACAGCTGCTTAATAATTAACTTACGTATTTGTAAACATCAGTCGATAAATAAAATGGTACATTAATATGGACAAA